GGGGGTGAAGAGAGGAGAAGGGATACACAGAAGGACTGCCTTGGAGAAATGATGTCATGTTAACGATCAGACTAGACATTTGACTAACTGCAAGGAAGGAGCTGATGTTGCTTGCAAAGCTGTCGCCCAGCATGAGAAGGCCAGGCCAGGTGAGGGGCCTCAAGCATCACTCCCTGGCCATCTAACCCATGACTGGTGCTCACTCACGCCAAAGTCAGCTTCGGTAGCTAGGAGTCCATGTTTTCTGCTTTGTTCAGGTAACATCAGTATGATCAACCGTCAACCTTGTTTGTGTTTTTGGTGCAGTCAAAACTGGCCATGCTGTGCCTTGGAGAAGCCAGCCAAGTTTTAGCTTATGTTGTGGCCTTTGGACCCAATTAGTTCCTTCCTTTGAGGGGGGAGAGGGTCACAATGTCTGGGTGTGCCAGTGGGAGGCCCTCTCTCAACCAAGGACTGTGTCAGGCGATTTGCCTTCGTCCCACTTTCTAGTCTTCCTGACTGCGGGCAAGGCTTGAATATGCCCCAGGCTTTTGAGGCGCTAATCAGGTTGGGAGCTAAAAAGCAGAGAGGGCAAGACTGAGAAACTCCTGGGAAATCAGCTTGGTCTGGGTGGGGTTGGCCACAGACTTTTGGGAGGAATCAGGTTGTGTGGGGAAGGCAACTGGCTGTTGATGATCCCAAAGCCAGACCTTGGAGGTAACCAAAAAAACGAGGAAGCCGCTTAGGGCCCCACCATTCAAACAGCAGAGAAACTTCACAGCACCCTGGTGTTGGCTCACAGGGAGGAAGCCCACATTGTACAGAGGCAAGAGAGATTTCGCAATTATCCTGTTTCAGCCAGTGATCCTAGCCTTATCACTACAGGCTGCCCTGCCTAGGAATTTGCAATCACTTTGACGGTAGCTAGGATATTCCCCTCCTGCTGACTATAGGAAAGGAAAAAGAGTTTTGCTAAGCAAATGAAAGATGTGAATGAGATTAAAGTGAGAATATTTAAATGACAGAAATTTAGAGCTTTCAAGCATTCTCAAGCATTTTTGAAGCGCCCATTTAGGGACTGCTGATTGATAAGAGGAGATGAATTATTCTTATCTCCATCATTGAGGCCAGTCCCAAGCTCTCTGGAGGGCAACACTTGGTTAACCTAATTTGAATCTAATTCAAATGACTTAAAAGTAATAAAACAAGTATGTGCTTGAACCTAATAAAGCTTAATTTATTTAATAGGACATTTCTTAAAGAATTTTATTTTAGAGCTGGAAGGGACTTTTGAAATCATCCTTTATTTTACAAATAAAGAAACTGAGAGGGTCCAGCAGGTGGTGTGGTGGTTAAGGCGCTGGACACTCCCACATGGCCGACCATGGTTCAAGTCCCGGACCTGATGGCTTGCTTTCTAACTTTCCTTCTCTCTGTGTGTCTGTCTTTCTGGTCAAATTAAAATAAATGAATGAATAAATAAAGTTAAATAAATATTTTTTAAAAAGAAAGAAACTGAGTCCCAGAACAATAAATGTTTTGCTTAAGGCCATACACAGTTAGTGGCTGCACCCATGATGGGCACTTGAGCTCTGCTCTGAGTCCCACTCGAGAGCTTTGATCTACTCCTTGCTGAGCTCACAGTGCCCACAGATTCAGACCCCCTTCCAAGTACCAAGTTATGGGAAATTGGGGGCATGGGAGGGACAGGCTATACCTTAAGTGAAGATATCCTCATGGGACCATCTTCTAGGTGGCCAGTTGGCCAGGCCCGACCCCCTCCTGACTCAGTATATGAGCACCAACCACATTCCCCTCCTGTCTATAGAGTCTTCTTGCCAGGATGAAGAAGTGGCCATCTCTTCCCTCACCTGGACTGGTGAGCAATGGAGACTTACCAGCCCCCTTACTTGCTGAGTCCCTTTTGGATAACTAACCCGGGATTGAGAAATACTTTAGAAATTCTGAAACATCTGGCCCTGTGGGACTACCTTTAATGGCGCCCCCTGCCTGGTGCCCTGGAAGGCTGGGACAGTGTCTGGGGAAGATTGGAAGAGAATGAGTTGGGGAAGTCCATGAGGAGGGATCTCCCTTCTAATACTCTGCCTGGGGTTTCTAATAGGCTCTAAAGGGGTTAAAATTTGGCCCAGGGTTTTTTCTATCCCAGGCCTGCCCTTGGCATAGAAGGACCAGGACCAGCAGATGGCATAATGGTTATATCATCAGACCCCCACGTAGTTGACTGAGGTTTAAGTCCTGGACCTGGAAGTTTAAACTCATGTCTGGTACATGTGCGTGTGTGCCCAAGATCCTGAGAGGAAAATGGAGGAGAAGGGATTGCGGCGTGGCTATCCCCCCGGGGGGGGGGTGATTTTTCCCTTCTTATCTCTCTGTCTCTCTGGTGAACGCACGTGCCCTATAGCAAAAGTCTCTCTTAAAAAAAAAAAGCATAGACAGATCCTTAGTGGCAACATCTAGTGGCTTTTCTTTCTTTTCCTCACATAACGTGAGCTGAATTTCTAGAACCTGCCTCTTCTATGGCGTTCACACGGCTGAGTGTGCCAGGCACTGTGCTAAGCATCTCATGTGTGACCTTACTGAATCTGTGTTTTATAGGTGAAGAAACTGATGCTCAGTAAGCTGAAGTGACTTGCCCAAGGCCTGACATTGGTTCTAGAGCAGATGCTCTGACATTCTTCCCCTCCCCATAAAGAGGGACTTGGGAGAAAAAAAAAAATGAGGGACTTGGGAAGAGAAGAGGAAGGAGTAAGCTTCCTCTTACGAGCGAGTCTGGTTCCTGCAGGTCCCAGGAGTCCTGGCTGAGGCTACAGGAACAGACTGTGTCTTGGCTGCCCCAGGACATCCATCTTTACTCCTGGGTCCTGGCCACGTCCACCTCACTTCAGAGCCTTGATACTCAGCTTTCAAAAATCTTAGTTGCTTTCAGAGTAAAGAAAAAGCTCCACCTAAATGCAAATATCAAATTAAAACTGTGGTTTTGTGCGTGAGGAGCCAGCTCTGGGCTCTTCATCACTTTTGGCTGTACCTACGAAGAGACCTGAAAACACAGGCAATCTTGCCTGTTCTTGGCCTGGGCTAAACCTCCGTGTGGTTGCATTGGCAGTGGAATGAACTGCTCTTTCAGTAAGCATCTGTGAGTCTCATGAAGTGGGTGTCATAGGAGAGAGCCCTGAGCACAGATCAGGGACAAGGACCATGCCAGGCTGATTGCAGGCCCCCTCCCCCGACTGGGCACATGGGTCTTGCACACCTGACTATGCAGCCTGTCAGCACTGTGCACGTATATGTGTTGGGGCCTATTTAGGCAGATTTGGATTAAACTAATAGGGCGTTGAAATTTTCTTGGAAAGAAGCAAGGTTATGGGCAAATGTCAAGGAGGCAAGCCTATCTCTCACGGCACACTGTATCGTCGGCACGTTATCACCTAGGACACGTCTGTCTGCTCAGACCCTCTCAGTGGCCTCCTTAGTGAAGTCCTTGGCCTTCCACAAGCTGGCCCTGACCTACCTTTCCCGATTTTTTTTAACCAAGTAACAATAATAACAATAACATTGTCTATTACTTTATAATGTTCAAAATGCTTTTACATTCCTTTTTTTCTTTGAAGTGTGTCAGAAACTATTTTTAGAGAGGAGTATTGACCCAGAAAGATAAAAGATCCTGCCCCAAATCATTACACCTTACTGGTGGCTGTGGTAAACTATGTTATCATTGAGAATATTTGCTGCCCTCCCCCACAAGAGAGCATTACACTTTCTTGTCTCATTGATGTGAGGCTTTGGCGTGGACTGGCTTTGGTGTGGACTGGCTTTGGTCAATGAAAAGTGGATAGAAATGGCCTGCAGCCCTTCTAAGTCAACTTAGAGTTTGCTGTGTCTCTCCTCTCTATGCTGAACACAGGCGTACCCCAGAGGGGGCTGCTGCTTCAACAGAGGTCCCAGAGTGAAGTGGCCATGGACGTGGTCAGCACTCATCTGCCGTAGATTATAACAGGAGTGAGAAATAAGCCATTCTTTTGGGGGCCACCAAGATGTTGAGGTGGCCTGGTAGATGAGCATGGCTAATCTAAGCCAACTACACTGTGGTAGAATTTGTCTTAACCCCAGACCTTCTGAGACTATACGTTTTTCACATTCATTCCCTGCGTTCCAGATCAATCCTGCTGTTTGTTCACACTTCTGTGGCTTTTCTCATCCTGATCCTTTGCCTAAATTCCTTTGAAATCTTTCATAATCTTTCAAAGTCTAGCTCGGAATCAACCTCTTCTGTGATCTTTCTGAGGTCCATAGTAATACCCAAGCACTGCTCCAGAGGCACAGTGGTAACTTAACATGGCTGCAGTGCTGGAGGCCATATGGAAGTTCCCGCTCTGGTTCCTGAATGCACCTTTGCATTATTATTACTATTATTTACATCATCGACACTTCTCATTTGTTTGAGGAGTGGGGATTGGTGCCTATAAAACCCTAGGGGAGGGGACAGCAACCTCAGCTTAGGCCTTTCATCCTTCCCAACACACAGGTCGATGTGCTTCTGTGTCAACCTGAGGATTGATTTTATTCTTGGTTTTAAACCAGCTAAAATAATACATTTCCCAGCCCCCTTGTAATCAGAGACTAAGGAAGTCTAGGGTGGGACTTCCCTCCCTTCCCCTTCCCTCCCTTCCCTTTCCCTCAACCTTCGCTCTCTGGGTCCTGGATCTGGTGGCTTTAGCCCCATCCGCCCTATAACCTTGCAGTCACCATGCCAGTCCCAGCTCACACGTGCGAGAGAGAAATAACCTGCCTCTCTTGCTGTAGCCCTTTTCCTAAGTCTTCTCTAATGTGAAGATAATTCCAGTCCTGACAGCTTTCTCACAGGACAACTCTCTGGAAGCCAGAGGACTTGGCTAGGAGGTGGCGCGAGGCAGTGCTGCTAGGAGGTGGCACGGGGTGTGACTTAGGGAGGCCGCTGCCTTCTCCTGGAAGAGAGCAGTGATAGACGGGGCCTGGGCACTTACTCATCCCCAATGTAGAGCTTGGGCCAGACCTCGTTGACATGGGTGTACTGGGGACTGCCCTTCCAGAAGAGCCGCTCCAGCTCGAAGGCTCCGGGGGTGCAGTAGTCTTCTGCCTCCCCCTCCTCCTCCACCTTCTGCGACAGCCTTTTGGCAGATGTGTAGGCATTCTTCAGGCTTGTCTTTGGTTCTCCGGATGTCATTTTGGAGCCAAAGGATTTTCTTATTTTTCTGCAGCTGGTGATGAAAGAGGGTCAGGATGGGAGTTAGCAGGAGACACCAAGGAAAGGAATGGGCTTTACCAAAAGAGGTGGGAAAAGGCCAACCCTAAAATTCAGCAGGTATTTCCCAGCCTACAGGGCTCCTGCTTCCTCTTCCCAGACCACACAGGTTGAGGGAGACTGTGATAGCCCATCTTTCCAGAGCGAGGGTGCGGGGGCCCTCTGACCCAGGCAGAAGAGGATTTGCAGTACACCTAAGAAACCCTCGCCAACAGCCAGCCCCTTTCTGCCTTTCTTTTATACTTTGTCCCTGCTTCAGTGCCTCCTTGCTGTTTGGCCATTTTGAACCCAAATAGGAAGGCTCAGAAGGTCCCTGACGTTCCAGGCCTGTGGCACTCTCAACACCTGCAGGCCGCAGTTGGTCAGCAGGCAGGGCACATGGCTAA